GTACATGCATTAGTAAAACAACAGTGGTGCATAGCACAGAACACAAAACTATTTTTGGCTGACACTTTTGGGAAGGAAGAAAAGTCATTCTTTGTCCTTACAAACTTACAAAATAAATACACTTATGTAGCACACAAGATGAAAACGTTGACACCCCCCCTCCTCCTACATTTCTACTTATGAGTTCATGATTTCCACTTAACAAACATTGGTCCAGGACATTCTGCACTGTTTATAAAATCACAAGAAAAAAGACATAGACATAGATCTACCGTACAGTAGGATACAGACAGAAAGTTGACACAATAACATAGACCATAGACGTTATGATTAGCAATTACCGAGAGAGATCTCTACATGATAATACATGAATTGATCACAGGAAGACCAAACTAATCCAATAATGCAATTACAACTTTGATTTTCAGCAAAAAGTAAATGTTAGACACAATAGAAAAATTAGTAATCATAGAAAAACAGGTGCAAATACACAAAAAGATACACATAGACCTAAATGTTGACAAACTAAATTTTAACTCATGTTCACAAAAGCACAGGTGTAGACACATACAAAATATCAAACACAAACACTCACCAACATAATATATAGGCCTACAGTGGAGTCCGCTTAAACTGATTATGGTTAATATAAAAACAGGGGTAAACCGGAATAAAATTTTAAAAATTCCTGACTTTTTTCTTTTCTTTTAGCAACCAAAAACTCTGCTGAACAGAAGAAATTCTGGCAGCACCGTAGATTTTGAATTAAGAATTAATTGTATTCGATTGTGTATATATATATATAATATTTATATATTATTGGCTGTATAGTGTTTCTAATACACACATACACATAATGAATGCATTTATTCATATGCACATACGCGTATAATATCATACACTCATTTACCGATACATATGAAATGGTTAATTCATAATTCAATCGTACTGAAACACACACACACACACACACACACACACACACACACACACACACACACACACACATACACACGCATGCACACTCCTGTAATGATAAAATCATTGATTCAAACATACGGGCAATACACATAATATAAAATGAATTCATTCATACATGTACTCATACACACATATTATTACAATGAGCCCAAAAGCTCACACTCATACATCATGATAATGTTTAACTCACCAGTACCAGCCTCACACACTCTGATCTGTAACACTAGAGTCAGAGATGGGATCCTTGTATGATAGTATACAGTGGAGTTTATTTAAACCTAACACGGTTCATTTGAAAACACCAGTAAACTGAAACTGAAAGAAAAAAATCATGGATTTTCTCTTCAATTTTATCAACCTCTTTTAAACAAATAAAATCGACCTGTCATGCAGATTTCAATATAAGCAGACACCATTGTAATTCTTAACTTCACATATAAGGGTATAGATCTACATATAGCGAAACAAACAGAGAATTCTACTTGGCGATAACAAACTTCATCAAAACTTCACCAAAACACAATGCCAGACCAACATTGGCACACCATGAATCATGTGTTGGTCCCCTGCATGTCTTACTTCTAATTCTGTTCCTTATCTCTGTCATTTCTGTCTGTATGTCTTTATTTTTTCCCATCACTAAAAACTGTTATTATTATATCAATAAAAGTCAGACATGTGTGTGCGGTAGTAGGCCTACACAATGTGTGTGATTGTACGAGGAGTTGAACAAAAGCAAACGCTCGCTTAAAAACTGACGTACAGTACTCTAATATACCGGTACAGCAAAATAAAACCTTGGAAGAAAAAATGAAGACAAAATCATAAAACATAATGTATTATTATGTAGACCTCACGCGTATGGACTACATTTTAATCTGGCGCTCATATGACCTTATGCAGTTGCGAGCGCCGTAAAACCTCTACTAAAACTAAACTAAACTAACATTTTAATGAAGACAATATTGTGTGAGTGTGATGTAGAAAAAAAGTCTGAAATAACAAAGAAAACCTCAACCTAATATTGATGGAGCAGACCCTTTACACTGCCATGTACTAGAACTGAGAAACCATATTATGGTGACACCCCCCCCCCCAAAACAAAACCACCAAAAAAAAATTATTTTAAAAAATTGTGATTTTTAAAATAAAAATGGGGTGAAAAGATGAAAAATACTAAGTAGGTTATGCTCAATAAAATAGTACAAAATGTTCTTGAAGACTGTGGAAGACATAATATGTACACAGGCCCACAATGTTACTCATATTTCTGAAGACAGTTATTTGTGGTGACATTTCAACAGGACACATTCTTTTGATAACTTCGGAAACTGTCATAATATTTTCTCTTCTGAGTTATGTACATTTTTTGTGTACGAATGTGTTCGAGTGCGTGTGTGAGGGGGGGGGGAGAGAACATTAGGCCTACAATAACAGCAATCAACTGTTCTTGACAAATTCATTGACAGTTTTATGCTTTGACAAGGTAGACCAACCTAACTGGTTTATTTTAAAAAAATTCAGCTTGCAAAAAAAGAAAGCCTGCATTTCAGGTTATTACACTCTCAACAAAATGGGATAAAAATAGATGTATGTACACGTAACTGGTTTTTTCCCGCCAGTAACAATGAAACTGGGAAGAAATAAAGGAACAATCTCAGGAGAACTTGAACAACAAAATAATGTTGACCATACAAATTGGGGAAAGTAATAAGATATAATTTCTCACCCAATGCATTTATAGCCTAATTAACTGGCATGATCAACTCATAAAGACTCTTGACTCTACAAAATGTAAGAAGGAAGACATTCTTAAATTAGTATGAGTGGGTGGTTGGCGGGTGCTCTAGTGGGGTTTTGCTCTTTCTTTCCTATCCTACATCTCAGTCATCCTTGTAGGACCTAGTGCAACACAACAAGGTCATATGTCTTAATATAAGTACCGAGGATTAGAGGAGCTACAAGAGAGTAACAAACGCAAAAAGGAGGTGGGGAGGGAAGACAATAGATGTTTGAAAGGAAAGAAGAAGCAAACCACACCAGAGCACCCGCCAACCACCCACAACAAAACTAAAACACCATGCTGTCCCCGCGGTTTTATGTATCCTGCCTAATTTAGCAAAATTTGATCTTTTGTGTGTGTACATAATTTCTGATTATTTTCCTTTATTATTCTTTGTTAAAATTAACAGAATCGCATAATTTCACATTTTTGGGCTCAGTTTGCATAATTTCAGATTTTTTTTTCTCATAAAACTGTAGGGACAGCATGATCATAAGTCACTCACAATCTGGACAATGTCCATGCCCATAAATAAACTGATGAGTAAGTAAAAATCCAGCGATATCCACATCATGCTTGCCCTCCACCAGTAGGTCCAGGCAGCTCGACAGTTTTAGTGTTTATAAAATTTCACATCGTTTAACAAGGTCCACCTTACAGTGAAAAACAGCTGGAAAAAAGTTCAAAAAGTCTTGTGAACTGTTGGAAACTGTCTCTGGTCCTCCCATTTTCTGACAGCGAGGCTCCAACTGTGTCAGCGACTGGAAAGGTGGCCGGCCGGTGCCAGGATCATCGTTGGACAATTAGGAGCTGAGGACGATAGAAATGATGGCAAATAAACTTTAGCAAATAACTTGACTTAAAATAGCAGGTGAGTGTATAAGAACATTACAGGGCAATAAGTAACTGTGGATGATAGAAATTGTTAAAGAAATAAATCATAACGAAACGTGTATGCAATCAAATGAGTATATAATACATAGGTGTAGAACATATTTTCACAATTTGCCCACTACAGTCCCAAAACATTACAGAATTGGACTTTCATAAAGAACATTTTTCAAAATGGAAGTAAGAGGTTAAGTCTTTTTTTTTCTGTCTTTGTGTTACATGAAATTCGGGCAGTGGACAGATTTTCAGTAATCTTTTACAATTTGCTGATATTTCTGTGGAAGTTAGGAAGGGTGAAAGTTCTGTGAATTTACAGGGAATGGACTGGAGTATATTAATGTCCAACATTATATAGAGAACACTGTAAAGTTGCCATAACTATAACTAAGACTCCAGTGGAGATAAAGATCTGGTTGATGTGGAAGGAACATTTTATTTCCTTAAGTTGAGTTTAAGGATGATTTTGAACCAGGTCTTTAAGCTGATTTACAGGCCAGCAGAAGACACAATGAGACTTATGGATTCAGACCAAAATTTGGACCAAAAGCAAGGTGTCGCATTGTTGCCCAAAATATGTCTGTAGGTTAAGAATAGTTTTTTTTACATTTAAATTTTTAAAAAAACAAAACACAGTGCTGTTGAGTAGCTTTATTTTCATGAATATATTTTTTTCACGGGGGTTATTTTGAGGAATTCTTCCTTATCATTAGGCACAGCAGGGGGATCTAGGGGTCTTTGTGGCCAAGAAGAGGTTACTTCATTGCTGTAAAAACAGCTGATGTTTTTTTTATAGACTTTAGCGTAGTTCTCCCAGTGAAGGCTAGGCTAGCTGAAGTTTGTGAAATTAAACATGACTTGCCACGGACATGACAACTGTTACTGTGGAAAATATGCTAGATCTAGATCTATTACATGTGGGAAATGAGGACATGTGTCGGCTACATCTAGATCTAGACCTCTAGATCTAGTATAAATAGATTCAGGTCTACAGCATTTGTATTAAAAATACACGATTTACATATTCACAACAAACCATGGACATGACACCGAGTATCAGACTGCCGTATTCACAATCATAATTCGGTGTTAACCATGCATCGCGTTAAACAAATTTTAGTTGAATTGTTGACAGATAAGCGAGCCTCCTGATCTAGATCTAGATCTAGATCTAGGCCTACGGTTCGTTAAATAACTATACTAGTATAAGATCTAGATCTAGATCTAGGCATACGGTTCGTTAAATAATTATATAACAATCTAGATCTATGATATTATAGTCCGCCGAGATCGATCGAAGCTTCTCTTTTGATGTATTTGATGTCTAGCATTAATTTCTGCACTCTTCCTACTTTAATGTCGGTGAAGTCAAAATCACCTAGATCTAGATCTAGAACTAGAAATCTACATGTATTTTTATTGCAGATCAAGATCTAGTCTTCATTCCGGTTCAGAATATGCGACGATAACGGTCAAAGGGAAACAACAATGAAAAAACTAATGTAGCAATAAGAAATTAGTATTACCTCCCTTAAAATCGACCAATTACGTCACAGTTACTTGTGTAAACACCTACGTCATTATTCATTGTGTACACACATCTTTTAATGTCATTGTTCTGTGTGCAAACACCTACGTCATCGATTTTTGTGTTGCTATGGAAACCAGCGCCATTGTTTTTCATTGAGTACGTCATCAACCTTTGTGTAAACACCTACCAACGGGTTCATTCGTTGAGCACAAACATCTTTTGTGCACGATCGTTCGTTGAGCTGTTTAATTTGACCACCACGAATTATAATTATAATGTCTCCTCAAAGTTCTAGATCTAGATTCTAGATCTTTCGTTGTTTGGTTTAGTCAAAAGCTTGATTTAAAAAAAATAATTTTGGCCTAGACTAGATATCTAGATCTAGAATCTAGATCTAGACTAGATCTAGATCTAGATTTAGATCTAGATTCTAGATCTATTAGATCTATAGGCCTGTTCTCTAGAATCTAGATCTAATATCTATATCTAGATTCTAGATATCTATATCTATATCTAGATTCTAGATCTAGATTTATAGATCTAGATTCTAGATCTATTTCTAATCCTTACTTAAACTTTAAACCCTTTTCGCACCTCTCAGCATAAATAGATCAAGAATCTAGACCTAGATCTCTAGAGCTACATAAATAGCCTAGATCTAGTCTAGATTCTATATGGAATCTCCCAGCCTATGGCGTTGAGCTACACAAAGACCGTCTGTGCTGTTATTAGCGGCACGCAGTTTGCAGTCACGATCGTAGAATTCATACTAGACTCTAGACTACATCTAGATCTAGAATTAGATCTAGATCTAGATCTAGATTTTTAGATATAATTATCTTATTAATAAAAGACCTGTCCTTTCTTCTATCTTTCTTTTTTTTTCTTCTTTTTTTTAAGCACCAGGCCTAGACAGATCTAGATCTAGATTTTACATTTGGATTTCTAGATCTAGAGATCTATTCAAGCCTTTAGCCTATCTACACAGTTCGTAAGTTGCCGTAGCCTAGGCCTAGCCTATTACAACTTAGGCCTTTAGATCTAGATCTATATTCCTAAGGATGGCACCTTCGAAGGGGAAATGTCTTATAGTCTAGATCTAGATCTAAAATTATTTAATTATAAGGTCATCACGAGTGACGCGTTAGAACACAATCCAGATGGTCCAATGGATAGGCAGTTGAATCTGATAAAGTCGTTATACTTATAGCCTATAACAATCGGACTTCCTGGATCCCTGGCGCCCAAATTTGAATTTGGGTTTGGTTGGGTGCAGAGTGCAGCTAGGCCTAACTAGATCTGGATCTCTCTAAGTCTAGGCTGACTGTGTGTGGGAGTATGACTCCAGTCGATCTGTGCAAATTCAAAGAGTGCTAATATTGTCAGGACTACAGGTAGTGATAGTAGTAGTAGTGTTGCTCATAAGGTAATGTAGAGAAACGAGCTTAGGCGAGTTTTCTTAACATTTTAGCCGTTTGGCGTTGTTCCGGCGTTGTGTACCTACCTCCTAAGCAGCTTCGTCATTCCATAGCCCACGTAAACTAATCTAATTTTTGTTAAACTTCCTCCAGACATTTGCGTTGGTAGAACTAACCTAGAATCTAGCTACATCTATAGAATCTAGGCCTAGAGAATCTTTTACTTTTATCTAAATTATGTTTTTAGTAAGAGTTTTACGACGCTTGCATTTGAATACATGTAGATCTAGATCTAGATATCTAATAGCTTGTGTTTCTTGTTTAAAATCTTAACCCATTTCCTTTAAAGAAATCATTACATAGATCTAGATCTAGGGTGATCTTATACTTTAGCACGTTAAATTCCCAAAGTCTACTAATCCCCGACTCAGACCTTCAAAATTTTGAACTGGGCCTAAAAATGCGCAAACTACCGAAATTTTGTCATGAACAGATGGTATAACAGTGGTTTTCGGTCTTCCATTGTGATTTTGGAAGCCAGTGAGTATAATCTTGATTAGATAGACCATGTTTTAAAGTGGTCCCTCGTTACGGAAAAGGGAATAAAAATCAATTGAAGAATTTAACGTGCTAAAGTATAAGATCACCACATCTATATCTATATCTAGATCTAGTTATATAGCCTAGAATCTAGATCTAGATCTAGATTCTATTCTTTGATATCTAGACCCATAATCTAGACTAGATAGATCTAGATATCTAAATCTAGATTCTAGATTCTAGATCTAGATCTAGATTCTAGATCTAGATCTAGATTGTAGATCTAGATCTAGAGTCTAGATCTAGATATAGATTCTAGATCTAAATCTAGATCTAGATCTAAAATCTAGATCTATGTGTGGCACCGTATTTTTACAAAACTATGAATAATAGCTTGGGTGTTTTTGTTTTAAACCTTAACTTTTTTCATCGGAAGAATTCATTTTAGATCTAGATCTAGATATAGATCTACATAGTTCTTGATCTAGATTTAGATCTAGATCTAGATTCTAGATCTAATCAATTCACGTTCCTGTCATATTATTTTTTCCGTTTGCTGATCCAAGATTATGAGTTCAAGTTTTGTTTAAAATACGAAAGCTGGATTTGTACGCCTATCGTTTCGCCTAAAAGCAGGCATGTGTATTAGGCTAGCCTATAGATCTAGATCTAGAAATCTAGATCTAGATTTCTAGATCTAGATAGATTTTTTGGGAGATAATCTTGCTCATTTAAAAGTGAACAATCACAAAAATCCCTAGATCTAGATCTATGAGTACATTTTAGCGATAGGCAAATCACATGAAAAAGAAATCATCAAAATACTTCGCTGAGTATCATTAATCCATGATTGAAAAGTGTTGCCGCACACAGACTGGCCTTTTATTCCTCTCCGTAATGGCGGCGCGCCCCTCAAGTTTAACACTCATGACGTCACAGCTAAGACCTCTTAGTTCTATAAATATAACATCTTTGGATGCCAACAAAGAGGTTGTATGTAATAGTACTAGAGGTCGCAGTGTGACGTCACCCACGAAAACTCACTATGGCTGTGCGGGCCCACTCAGCTCGCAATGTCGCCGTTTTTGAGAGCATTAGAAACAGAGGCTGTCACGCTGCGCGTCCCCGGCAACGCCTAGATCTAGATCTAGGTATTCATAGAGTTTGAAGCTCAGTTCAGTTTTATTTTCAGTTTTCTTATTTTTTGCTATTGTTGTTTAATCATAGAGAGATTACATATTAGATCTAGATCTAACATACACGCATACATAATACCGCACCTGCTGACCGATTGTGAGAAACATCGAAATCTAGATCTAAATATGCTCTTGAATGTGGGCTACAAATGAGCACAGAGATATAGCCTAATAAGAAGTGTTGTTTATTTTCCCCGGGTAGGATGGGGGAGGGGCGGAAGGAGACAAAATGGGCAATTGAGTTTGTTAAGAAAAACGACGATTTCATTCTTGCAAAATGTAAAATGGATTGCTTTTATTTCATGATGTCTACACTCTCCTTCAACTGATGCAAAGTCTTGCTAGGTCTTAATCGAGTATGAAGGGGATTAAGACTGGGTTGATTATTTAATGATTCATTATTCTCGAAATATATTTTAATGATTCATTATTTTCAAATGAGCAATTAATCGTAGGCTGGCTGGGATACTGTAAATCACTCGTTGTATGGATGATGGATCATGTGCACACACCTGAAGAGCGTTGTTTGATATCAGGCACGAATAGGCCTTGTGATATGCTGGCCACATTTTAAAATACATGACACCTAGATCTAGATAAATAGCCTGTTTATCTTAAACATTCACAATATTTTATAAAATTGGCCTTGATTGGCACATGTGTTTGGTTACACAACATCCCATCTTCTATGAACCCCTGCTGCTGCTGTTGCACAAGCTGTTTGGCTTCGGTTCCGCAAATGAGACAGAATATTACGCCAGTCTTATTGGTGGGTAGTTACGCCTGGTTGGGTGCTAGAGTTGCAGCTGAAACTTCTAGCAGCTTTTCTGTCACATTTTTTATTCCAGAGGGCCGATACAAGCGCCTTGTTGTGGTTAGCGATGCTAAATCTAGACGTACTGTTTGAGCGATGTATACCAAGAGATTTAAATAAATTTATGTATTTTGTTTTAACAAGTGATCATCAAGTCTATCTCATTCATTTTTTTCGAAATTGTACTCACTTATATGGTCACACTGTGTAAAAGGTCCTATTTGCATTATTTGGAGATAATCTTGCTCATTTAAAAGTAAACAATCACAAAAATCCCTATGAGAGTACATTAGCAATAGCCCATGAAAAAGAAATCAACATCAAAATACTTCGCAGAGTATCATTAATCCGTGATTGAAAAGTGTTGCTGCACACAGACTGGCCTTTTATTCCTCTCCGGAATGGCGGCGCGCCCTTCAATAAGTTTGAAACTCGTGACGTCACAGCTAATACCTCTAGTTCTATTTATAAAACCTCTTTGGGTGCGAATCAAAGGGCAATAATCAAAACAATTCAACACTCCCTCAGTAATTTTCACGGTTAGTTCTCTTTGACCGTATTTCGAATATATTTCAGATTTGTTAAACTTTTTCTCACGAATAACCGTTTTGGCGTGCCAAATGGATAGAGCTCACTTTTCTGAGAATTTTGATACCAAAATCACCCACAGAACTTAATTTTTTCAATCAGTTACAGTTCTTCAAAGTTCGGTAGCATTTGTTGTGGCCTAATCCTATTTTTGCTGACATGTGAAAGTGTAGTCTATGTTTGGTACCCCAGTGACAACTTGCTGGTCCAGATCAAGATGTTTTTGAAGGTCTACGAGCCATGTATTGGTGACCAGGATAAAAAAAGGACGTTTTGGTAGTTTTACAAGCTTCATGATATATCATAGATCTAATCTAGATCTAGATCTATACATCTTTACGATGCAAGTATAACCTAACCATGTAGATCTAGATTCTATTTTATGCATCCCCTCTTTCGATCAGTCTTGCTTAATTTACATTTTCCGCAGACCCTACTTTAGCTCATTTTGCCAACTTTGTTATCGACTTCCAAACCCTCTCATTGTGTGTGTGTGTGTGTGTGTGTGTGTGTGTGTGTGTGTGTGTGTGTGTGTGTGTGTGTGTGTGTGTGTGTGTGTGTGTGTGTGTGTGTGTGCGTGTGTGTGTGTGAGAGAGAGAGAGAGTCCATTCCAGTCTGTCTCATTCTCATCTTGTTATCGATGTAGATTAAAGGAGTAGGCCTATATCTACCTAAAACATTATTTAGATCTACTTAAATTGTAGTTTTCTGAAATACTAGATTTATCCCTCTATTGCAATAATATTGCTAGAATTAATTTTTTTAAAGATATTGAAACAAATATATGTAATAATCATAAACCAATGCATGATGGCTGTAGTGTAATGTTTTGTCATGAAATACTAGATCTATCTCTTTGTTGCAATAATGCTAGAACTTCAAGTGTGTTAAATATTGAAATAGATCAATGTAATAAATATACAGATGATGGGTGCCTAATGGTTATCTTTATGGCATAGTTTTGATTGTTTCATGACAGGGAGATTTTGCTCACAAGACAAACGTGTGTGCCTGGTCTATCTCCTGGACACGAGGAGAGGGCAAAGGTCAACCAGAAACTGGAGGAGGGTGAGAAACTGGGGGACAGAAATCTTACTGAAACAACAGGCGTTAGAGTTTAGGGAGATATAGGAAAAAGAAGATATAATTAAGTGGCGTCTACTTAAACTTAAACAGAACATGGTTAATCCGGAAACGGTGGTAAACCAGAATATCAGACTGTTTATAATATCTCTGATTTTTTTCTCCTTCCATTTAAGAAAAAAAATATTGTTGAAATAACTTTAATTTTCTCTTGTTCATAATTTTCATGTTTTGTTTGCTCGTTATTCCTCTCTGCACAAAGAAATAATTAGATCTAGATTTGTCTCAATGTTATAGTTGGAATTTTTCTTGACAATGGTTTATTAGTTATACAGCTGAAAGTAAAGTGCATTCTAAAAATAATATATTTTATGGTGCTCTTGAAACTTGAGATAAAAAGATCAGAATTTGACATTAACAAATAGATTTAGATTAAAGGAGATCTACCTAAAATCTTATTACTAAAAAAAGCTAGTTTTCTGAAATATTATCACTATTGCAATAATTTAATAATGCTGGAATTTAAATGTGTAAGATACTGAAACAGATCAATGTAATAATTTAAACCATGGCAATGCATGGTCGCTGTGTAATGTTTTGTCATGAAATACTATCTCTCTTTTGCAATTTCGCTAGAACTTAAAGTGTGTTAAATATTGAAATAGATCTTTGTAATGAATACACCGATGATCGTTGCCTAATGTTTATCTTTATGACATAGTTTTCATTCTTTCATGACAGGGAGATATTTGCTCACGAGACAAACGTGTGTGCCTCAGTGACAGAGATCTGGTGTATCTCCTGGACACGAGGAGAGGGCAAAGGTCAATCAGAAACTGGAGGAGGGTGAGGAACTGGGCGGGACAGAAATCTTACTGAAACAACAGGCTGTAGATTTTTGGGGAAACATAGGAAAAAGAAGACAAAATTTAATGGAGTCTCCTTAAACTGAACATGGTTAATCCGGAAACAGTGGTAAACCAGAATATGGTAATTATATCTTTGATTTTTTTTTTCCATTTAAGAAAAAAAATGATTGTTGAAATGACTTGGATTTTCTGTGGTTCAAAATTTTCATTTTTTGTTTGCTCTTAGATATTATATTCCTCTCTGCACAAAGAAATAATTAAATTTGTCTCAATGTAAAATTATAGTTGGAATTTTTCTAGACAATGGTTTATTCGTTATGCACACACACACAGCTGAAAGTGCTATTCTAAAATATTTTTATGGTACTCTTCAAACTCGAGATTAAAAGATCAGAATTTGACATTAACAAATAGATAGGCCCTATAGATTAAAGGAGTAGATCGATTACTGAAAAGTTAATTAATGGGCTGATTTATCAAAGTCATGCTCATACTGTGGCGGAACAACAATTTCGGGGGAACTGCTGCTTTTTTCTTTCCTCATCCTTACTGTCGTCATGTGTCCTCTGCTCTTGTTATATGTTTGTCACTCTCTTGTGACCTGCTATTTCTGGGGTACCTTGATAGTTGAAGCAGAGTTTGTGCAGTTGAGGCTAGAGGGGTGAGCAGAGTAAGCCTGATTCCTCGTTTGGACTTCTCTGTTGACATCCACCCCTTGGCGCTCATATGACTTGATGCAGTTGCGAGCGCCGTAAAACCTTACAAAAACAAAACTAACTACACGCCAGCGTTGGCCACGACCTGTGAGTCGAAGCAGCCCGCATCCTACATTAATTTGTGTCAATGAAGGCGTAAAATATAGACCATCAATGAAGTCAGGCTCGAGTCTCTGGAAACTCATGTTGCTTGTCTTTCTCAAAGAATACAGACAATTATAAGCGACTTAATGAATGGTAAATTAATAGCTGCCAATCAGTAAGTACCAAATACAATAATACAGTTTTGTACTATGTTGGAGAGTTTGTATGTGTCAATGTTGGAAGATACATATTGTCTGTCTTTTTGTATAGCTTCTCATAAACTTTGGATACTGAAGAAAATTATGAACTTTCAAGACAAGATTTGCGAATGATAATGAGAACAAAGACAATAGATATATTATTGTAACCGTAGAGCTAGCTGTTGAGCAAGAAGTTGCTGAATACATAATATTATAAAAAAAGATGTGTGTGAAAAGTTTAGAGGGGGTTACTCAGCCAATGCCCACCAGCTTGACCCTTATTGTAGGTAGAGTTTTTTGTCTTAAAAGTTAGCAGCTTTGTTATTATTATTGTTAAGTTAATGGAGAGTTTTGATTTGTGGTTGCTATGTATGTGTGCTTTAAATAGTCCTTCTTTTTTCACTATAAGCTTTATTCTTTCTTGAAACAGAATTCCTGCTGGCCCAGACACTGGAGATGAGGGTGTTTCTAAAAAAATTGCACAGGAGTTGCGGTAAGAGAATTGATTTTCTTTCTGAATGTTTGAAGGTTAAAGGGATGTAATACATAAAACATTTTTTAGCAATGTAGAGGTCTTATTTTTTTGTCCCTTGTAAGATTGTAATGGTCGTGTTATGACATGAAGGATGTTCTAAAAGTTTCTGTCAGGCGTGGGTAGACTACGGCCCAAAATATGGCAAACACTCCTCTGGCAGATTTGGTCTCATTGGGCGTAGCAGACGTCACAATGGTCATCTTAACGTTTATTTCTTCTGTGTTGCTTAAGAAATGTTCTCCCCAGATGTTGCATTGGTCATTGTCAAACATTGATGGACGAACTGTATAATCATTATTACTTTTATATTACTATTGTTATTACTACTTCTACTATTATCATTATTATTATTATTGTTATTAGTATTATTATTATTGTTATTACTATTTTATTATCATTTTTATTATTATCAGTACTATTATTATTATCTTTGCTATTATCATCATTTAGTTTTATTTTTATTACTGTCATCTTTATTATTATTATCATTATCATTATTATTATTGTTGTTATCATTATTGTTGTCAAATTTAATAATCTGAAATACATTTTTTTAAACGGGAGGATTGTCATCTGTCGTCCCCAGCACTGTTCCCTGCCGTATGTGAGAGACAATCCCTGTGGTCTGAGGTCGGTCAAGCCAGTGCCAGTATGGAGTCAGTATCTCACTGAACACTCCTCTCTACCTGTGTGTAAGGATGGAACTGTGTCAGGTGAGAATGTCAAAAAAGCATCATTGGTAGAGTTTCTTGTGTACATTTGGAGGTTGCAAATTTCAACTACAGTCAAACTCGGATATAACATGACAAACGAGACCGCAGTTTCTCTGTTATAAGCGAGTCCTATAATAACCATTATCAAGGGAAACCAGTAGGCTACCATTGCACCTTCAGCTTAATATGTATATATATTTGATTACCGCAGGTCCTTTTCCAGTGTGTTGTTTTGTTGACCCTGAGACAAAATCGATCAGCGACCCCAACACTATTTAGGGGGGGGGGGGTATGTTTAGGCAAGCAATCATACAAACATGCGAATGTCTTGGTTGAGACAACTTTGAATCATTTGACGGATCGAAAGCAAGGTCATGTGCTACAAGATCACTGTTATATCCTGAGTTTGCACAAATTGAACCCTGTTAAAGCCAGGTTTATATTACTTACAGATATTTAGAAAAAAACCCAGGGATTTGATTTATCACTGTTACATCCAAGTTCCTGTATTAACAGAGGCTGTTATAAATGGACTGGACTGTTGTCGAACCCGCCCTAATGGCCACCTGTCTAAAACAATCACCTGTAGAAAGAACCACAAACTCCCACTTCTTCCTTACATTTTTCTCTATATATATATCACAATAACACCTGTCTATGACAATCACTTTTCTCCTCAACAATGCGTGACCACAGTGCTTTCTTGTCGCATCTCCGTTTTTAATAACGCGAATCTTGGACAGTTTCGACTGTACTTTGTGATTTTTCAGACAATCCAGGCTCTTACAGATTCCTCACTTTATTCATGGGTAAAAAATTCACTTTGTCTTTGAATGTGGAAGTTTTCTTTTTGTTATTCAACAAGAAACAATTGTGGGAGATAATGTTGCCCTTTGTTTATGACATCTGTGAGATCTTGTGGTATCTAGGAGCTGTAATTACTGTTTAAAATTTCCATTCATTTTTTTCTCTCCCCATTTTTAGTCCTTGGAGCAGTGAGATACTTCTAGTTTTAATTATCTGGTGACTAATATTTCATGTTGAGCTAGTCAGGCTTTCTGCTTTGTTTGTACTGTCCTTGAGTTATCGCCCTTGCCACATGGATCTGAATGTTGTGGTTCTTGGAAATCTAAAACCTGTAAGTCCAATGTCGCTTCATATGGTCGCTTTTAAAGCACAAGGGGGCTATCCCGAAAACTGCTGTTTTGAGAAAATCAGAGGTAACGTTTTTGCCCCTTGTTCAGTTTCTTTAAAAGACGAGGAGTTTTCTCTATAACCAAATAAATGTACACACCAATGAAAGCAAATTTCTCCTATAGGTAGGGCAATGCCCATTTTTTATGTAGGTCAAGATCTCTGGAAACCCCTGAAATCTGGGTAAGCCCGTTAGTCCTTAAAAGCGACCATATTGAAACAAAAGATTTGTATTATTTTATTTTAAGTAGGACTTGATGACCAGTTGTTGCAATCCTTAGAAAAACATTTTCTCTCTTTCTTTCTTTCTTTCTTTTTTTCTTTCTTTCTTTCCATTGACAGAAGTCTCCAGAAGGCCAGAACCTGACAGAAACGTTCCGCTATCTGTCAGGAGAACATTCATGACGCTGACATGAAGGAGACATCAACGCTGCTTACTCAGAGATGGTCATCAACTGGATCTGTCAGATTTGACTGGACGAAAAAGGAAACAGACTAAGAGATGGGTATACCTGACTGGATATATGTGGATCAGGAAAACCCTTCATGTATCTCCCCAAGTCGTTGTTGATGCTGTGATTCTTCAGCCTTTGCGGTCAGATTGATTGTGTGTGGCAGGGGTTGCCAAGCTACAGCCTAGGGGCCAGATCCAGCCCAGGAGATGAGTTTGACCGGCCACCGTGCCACCATGTGGGACAAATACTTACAGGATGTTTGTACTCAGGACTTGCTCACCTAAATAATGTTAGTCATTTCATTGAACTCTACAGTACATGTACAATTTAAATGTGCTTTTAAAGATGTTGCATCTTTGACCTTATTTGTCTCGCTCTTGCAAGGAATTATTTTACTGACCCAGAAAGTTTTCTGTTCCATTATTATTTTTCTTAAATGTGGATCATCACTGCAGCTTGCCGTATACGGTATATTGTCAATTTATATCTATAGTCACTGAACCTGTTGAGCAATTTCAGTGAAAGATAGATGTTCCTTTAGATGATATTAACATGTCTATTGATATTATATAACAATAATATGTTATGTAAAAGTAAGTATATGGGTTTATTGCCCCTATCAACGCTATTACAGGGATGCCAAATCTCCGTTTTTTCCGGCTTTTTCTGGTTTTTTCCTACTCTTGCAAAGGGAAGGGGAATGGTAAGAGAAAAGTTTTTGTTTGTTCATGGAAAGATTTCACAAGGTTGGTTACAGGTGAGATGTGGCACTCCACTCATTTTCAGGTTTTTTTTCAAAAACCATTTGGCCTCCCTGCTATTAGGTTATTTAAGAGGCAGGATTTCCTCATTTAATGTCCATTTTCCATAAAGGCTCTCAACCCATTTTGCCAGGTCCCATGGAAAACGGACATTAAATTAGGAGGTCCTGTTTCTGGATAATAGTGTAGATTTGATTTTTGTATTAGCTGGTGAAAAAAGAATGTACTGTAGAACAAAGTGACCACGAGTTCTTTAATTGCCACTTACACACATTGTTAGGTGTTTGTGTCACTAAATGTAATTCTAGAAACGTCCAGAATAATTGGAGTTTCCTTTTTCTTCTCCCCTATTTTCCTCAGGAGGTCATTGTGTATACATGAAGATCAAAGCACGCCTTTTAAATAATCTAAATTGTCCCGATAGGGGTGTAAAAAACTTTTACATTTAAAGCAAAAACCCTGAGGCAGGTCAGATGAGCCATATTGTAGAACGTCAATTGTCTTTTAGCTCGAGTAGTTGAAATTCTGTTTGTTGAGTTTGCTGGTAGGGTAGATTTGTGAAAACAATTTTTTATATTTT